GTAGAAGCAGCTTATATTCACATCTTTGACAATCTAAATGGTAATGCAGGAAAAGTGAAACTGAGCAGATTTACGGCTGAACTTATTTTGCACGATCTAAAAACTAGAAGTGCAAAGTGAGAAGCGACGGGTGTGAAGCATTGCTATTTGAATTTTAATCTGTGCCGCAAACTATTTTGACAACTTTGATGTTTGGGCGAATTATTTACATTTTATTTTGTCTTTATGGCTTGAAAAAGATTTATATCGAAACACATGTGTAGCCAACTTAAAGTAATATAACCAAAAACGTTCCCATTGTTTTCCACTTATAATTCAAAGTATTGCTTCCAAATGACGCGATAGGAACACCAGAGGCCCAAAAAATAAACAAAAATAAAAGTCTAATTTCTAAAAAAGGTGAATATTTTTCGGTATATTTTGGTAGATATTTATTTAGGCTTTTCTTTTTAACCACGATACATCTAACTTACTATTCAAACAGAATCCGTCTGTCTGTGAGTCTGTGTGTCCGCACATCGTGTAGTGGGTTCAATTTGTTACGGCTACAGGGCAGACGGTACGAGGTAGGAGGTTGAAATTTTCACACCTTTTAGGTGACAGAGCGGGTCAGCGCCTTTTCTAGGTTCCGACTCGCTGGGGTGCACGGTTCGCGCGTGGGGCGCGCTGGAAGAACGCCAATGAAATTTTGATCGGTTCTCATATCTTCATTGAGAGCCGGGGTCGACAAACTTTGTGGACTAAATGCATGCCGATCGGCGGCGGGTGCCTCGCATTGGCGGATGGGCAAGTTTTTAATTTGAATAAATAGTGTCGAGAGAATGTGTAGATTTTTCGTTCAACAGGAACAGTTTGCGATACAAGTATAAAAATGCACCGCGTTTGCCGCAATGCGCCACAATTATCTCAGGGCGTCATTTTTGCCGCAAATCGCACAGTTTTGTCAAATATAGTCCGATATGGGTGCAATTTGGTGCCAAGATGCATGCTCAATCGCCGGTTGAAAATGCACCACGTTTGTCGCAATGCGCCACATATGCCACAAAGCGCCATTTCCGACCAATACGATTAAGCGTAATGGAATGGCACGAATAGGGGCAGGGCTGGGAACACTTTAAGTCTGATATTTTAGTACTGATTGGATCCAATTATTCTGTGACCTGACATGACCCAGCGGTGTTCGTAGGGGTAGGGGTAGGGGTAGGGGTAGTGGTAGGGGTAGTAGTAGTGGTAGGGGTAGGAGTATGGGTAGTAGTAGTGGTAGGGGTAGGAGTATGGGTAGTAGTAGTGGTAGGGGTAGGGGTAGGGGTAGATGTAGTGGTAGGGGTAGTGGTAGTGGTAGGGGTAGTGGTATGGGTAGTGGTAGGGGTAGTGGTAGGGGTAGTGGTAGGGGTAGTGGTAGGGGTAGGGGTAGTGGTAGGGGCAGGGGTAGTGGTGGAGGCAAAAGCAGAACAGTGGCCCGGGCTGATCCCAGCTGGACGACAGGTGACCTATGTGACCTGACCTGACCCAAAGTGACCGGGGCTGACCCCCTTGACCCGTCTTGACCCTGTATCACCCAAATTTCATCCAACAAAGCCCTCAGAACAGTTCTGTTTTAAATTCTCTTCACATTTCCGTCCATATCTATGCTTCTAGACAACACATCGACATGAATCAAACACCATTCGAAAGCAAATTGGCTGGTGCCGCAATTTTTTCTACCACGCAGCAAAGCAAGTGGCGCAGCCGCTTGTCTATATTACTATTTGTGGTGACGTAGTTTCTGTCTATTACGAAGGTCGCGACATGGTGCTACGTAGCGCGGGTTACAGGTCACACCGTTGCACCTACCGCGCTGAAGTTTGCGCAACTCATAGAACAATGATGGACAACGTGCCTTTGATGGGTCTCAGCTCGATCGGATCGATAGCGAGCGCGTGGCGCGTGCCCAAAAAGTGCAAATTCGCGTCATAGACTTTACATGTATTAATCGGCTGGCAAAAACGGGCGAAAACAGCCAAATTTGCCCGACACGGGTCCGGTCCCGGTGCAATATCTCGGTAACCGTGGGCCCGACCGGTACGGGGAAAACAGCATCGTGTAGAGAATCGAACGGGCTATCGAATGGTGTGCGGTGCAGGGGTTGGCACGCGCCACGTGCAGCGGGAAAGACACTTTCTTTTAAAAAATGGACGTTTTGGACGGATTTTGGAATTTATATTAATTTCAGGTGATCGTCAGACGGAATGAGTTGAAACAGCGCCTATTAGCAATAAAAATGTACCGTCTCACATGGAAAAATTGTGAAAAGCTAATTGATCAAAAACAATGTGGAAAAAATCGCTGAATTAAATGGTATTTGTCCAAAATGTGCCACTAAATAATTACACGGATTTTGCTGCTTAACCTGATACGTTTGACAATTGAAAATGCTATCATTGGAAAGAGCATTCAATTCTCTCCAAGATCCAATCATCACGTTTGCATGACAAGCAACAGTATTCTTAAAAATATAAATGTTTCAAACCTCTGCAAAACGATTTTTAGTGAAAATTATCTACGCCTTTAATTTGTCATAAAACTACGCGCCTAAATTATAAAGCACATTTGACAGATTCTGAAGTGGAAAGCATGCTTATCAGACACGGGCACCTCGATGCGGTGGATATTTTTTCCACAAACCAAAACGTTTAGCCGTCAAAAAGCAATCGACCGAAATGGATAGATAACCCAACCGACACAAGAACAACCGAACATCCGCCGATCGAAAATATCCCTTTTCGCGTTGCGGAGCACGCGGGTCACCCTAGTCACTTCTATGTTAATTCATTAGCTTGTTTGAAGGTGAGAGGGCCCGTTTAAACAAAAGTCACAAAGCTTTCAGGAAATAAACAAGCCTGGCCAATAACCCACTGACTTTTGTCAGCTGTTAATTATAGTTAGCACAGATAACAGTAGTAATTAGGCATCCATTGGTCCCCCCAGAGGATAACATATCCCGCGCCCCGCTGGGCTATTCAGCCATACGCGCCCTGCTGGGGGGGGGGGGGCAGATTCTGCCCCCCCCTGTCTAACTTCCGAACCGATGGTCGTAGAAAGACGGGAAAAACGGCAATCGAAAGCTCTCAACGAGGCGAATCTTAAGAGCTCAATTTTTTTTGCTTAAGTAGGTCAGAGGTCAGGTCAAGGTCAGGTCAAGGGTACAAAATGCAAGTTTCTACAGTATCGGCCTTGCACCGTAATTGCCGAAGAATGGACTGAGACTGATTGCCCAAAACGTGTTCTTAGGCTACCAAGACAATATTCGTTGCATACAATATCATTCAAAGGTCAAGGTCAAGGTCAGGTCAGGTCAGGTCACCAAAAACAAAATATAGAAAAGGGCATGTGCGACACATGTTTTATGGGTCATTTTATTCATAGAATTCAATAGGCACACTCAATTAGTGATATGGACCATCTCTGGATGAATTTCAGGTCGAGGTCAGGTCAAGGTCAGGTCAAGTGAGGTCAAATTTTGAAGTTGGTTGTTAAGGCCTAAAAAGGTGTCTATCTGATGCAGTTTTTCACGTCGAGTCGAATGGTGCTATTTTTGTTTCCGTACAAGGTCTAGAACTTCCAAAAATTTATTTTTCAAAAATTTTGTGTGTCGTGACGTCATAAAATTTTGAATAACTCCCACATTTTTGAACCGATTCTTCTAAAAATTGGTATGTAGGTGCACATAGACCACTTCTCTGACATATATTCCGGTTGTTTCGATACACTCAAAATTTTGGATTTTATAATTATTTTCCAAAAACGTCGGTTTTTTGAAAAAATTTGGGCCAAAATCCAATATTTTCAAAAAACCGAGATAGCCATTTGATAGACAAAGTAATATTACGTATAACCTTTTTTGTTACATCTTGATTTCTTTAAAAATGAAGATGTTAGCGGCGTTTGAAATTTTGCGATTTTTGAGGCGAAAATTGCGAACATGACGTCACTAAAACGTCATTTTCTCAAAAATTTTCCGACGAATTTCGTTCAACTTTTCAAGGAACGTGTCAAATTGACGTATGATAAGGTACTGAAAGTTTGACGTTGATGGCGTAACGCGTTTAGAAGTTATTGGCGAAAAACGGGAGGGGGGCAGATTCTGCCCCCCCCCCCAGCGGGGCGCGGGATATACAATGGACATGCACATAAAATATACCGATACACATCCTACTCATACAGTGGAAGGTACACCCAACATACTACTTTTTTATATGATGGGACACCAGCCAGTGATCTGGTTCTCCGGTTTTCCCCAGACCCGCGTATGCGCCGGTCTAATTATTGCAGGGCGACAGCATTCAGGGCATATTACCGGTCCACATGTGTCGGATGTCCTAATCGGTAGCGTCCCCTCCTCAACCCCCGTTGCCGATACCCTCAGACGGCATTTACACCATTGAGGGCTTAACTACACCTACCTTACCTGTGACCTTTGAGCAGACACTTGGGGATCGGTGAGATTGGCATTTTGCAGTTACCGCGTGGTGCATATCTCGTAACCTGATCAGCCATGTCACTCTTTCTCTGTCGGTGCATCCGCCGACACCCCGGCACGTAATCCCGGGATACGGGTCACTCCACTGGTACGGTAATTAAGACCCCCTCCCCGTCTCCCTCCCCGTCCCCACCCCGGCGGTGTCGGAGCCGGCTTAGGAACCAGTCGACACCGGCCCCGACCCCGCCTGACTTGGCGTCTAATTACACTCCACTGAACTATATGGTACTTGTCTGTGAAACTGATCTGACTGTGAAATATAGGTTGGTAGGTAAGCGTAATTTATAGTAATAATGAGTAATAAGTAAATAAATGGTAATAAGTGAAAATAATAATAGCAAAGCAGCTACATGCAGCCATAGAAAAAACATAGAAAACATATTAGGCCTATTTACAAATCAGTGCTTATATGTACACAGAGCGTAATGCCGACGAAACCAAGCAAATGCACTTCAAAAAAGAAAATGAAATTTTTCAATTTATTGAATAAACCGATTTCGATGAAGCAATACATTTTTCAAGAACAACACAAAACCAAAATCCATATTCAGCAGTTAATAAAAAAACAGCTTCCCAAAACCAAACATGACTTTTCCAAATCGAAAATACACTAGAAAGGGTGCAGGTTAATGAAAGTTTGCATCTGTTTTACCCGGCTAACCAGAGGCCGGCTCTATATAAAGTGTCGGCCGGCCGGCCGGGCGCGCGGATTGCCACCCTGTCAGGGTGACGGGTCGCGGGCCCGGCCAGTGCAGTGGCCTGGGGCATTGCCCCGGCGAGGACGGGTATGTGGTCCATTGGCGGGGAGATGCGGGGCGGGACAGGGTCCCGTAGAGCTTCCACCGTGAACTTGTATTTAAGCGCTTACACTGTACATGAGTGACATATGTGATGCACGAATGATGTAAGTGTAAATATCATATATGCGTATATGAGAGAAATAAATATGAAAAGCTTACATCTGCTGCCTACGGCTCCGCGTGTTTAGAGTGTATTTGTGGGTCTGATCTTCATTGTGGTGGCGTTCAGGCTGTCGTTGTGTCGCCATTCATGCCAAAAGACGGTTACGTAGTCTGATACTCCGGGTTTGTACAGTCCGTTGAGGTTGGAAATGCAGCAGGATTTGTACCACCAGGCCCCTTGGTTGTTAGATGAACAGTTGCCCGGCCAAATGTCGTTGTCCCTGTCAATAGTGGAGAACTTCATTCCCTTGTGGTAGGTAAGACTGTCTCCGGCGGTCCCGAAGTAGTCGCCAAAGTCAATTCTGTATCCCTCATCCTCGGATTCGATGGCGAACTTCTGGTAGGTGGCGTACGCCGTCTGCTCTTCAAAATCCGAGAGATCCACCCTTAGCTCGTAAACGCGGTCTAGCTGGGAGGTCAGCTGCCAGAGATAGTGAAGTCCCCACCAGAACTCTCCTTCTAAACTTCCCAGGCCCCACTTGTAGGCCTCCCAGTCCTGGAAGAAGTCCTGCCTGGGTGTGATGTCGGCTCTTCTCTGGAAGACGATCCATCCCTCGCCATCGTCCATGTCACAATACGCCGGGGTCGGAGTCAGAAGATCTACCATTATCATGTAGACACCACTGGCTGTTCCTTGAGGCAGGTCACTGCAGTCGCGTACAAGTGAAGCCTGTTTTGACGTACCGTTGACATCAGAGGTCAGCCCAGAGGTCAGGTCAACGGTGCACATCAGCAGCCAAAGAACACAGACCGCCACTGGGGGACGCGGCGCCATCTCCATGGTGCTGCAGAAGAACGTCCTCGGTGGTCTAAGAGGAACAGTCGCCTCCACTGAAGGTGTGGTCGGATCGGCCCGTTTTATACTGCCTCACAGGTGTCTGGTTCACATCCATTCCAGACCGAATTTCACGAAAACAGCTGTTGCATCTGCATCCTCTGTCTGAAGTCAAATGCGCAGAACTGAACCGGGAAATTGAACAATTGTGTGTCGACTGTGGGTGCTGAGGCACCAAAATCCGTGCAAGGAAGAGCTATCTTGCTGCAGTGGAAATAGCTTGTGAAAATGTCATATGCTGAGGCGAGAACAGAGATTATTTATCTCGGCTGTCTGGCGTCGTCCAGATGCGCAAAAAAGCACAACATAGCCCTATTTATAAGCGGTATTAGAGGTTCCAGCTATTGATCATATTTCAAAAGTTGCTAAAACTGGACGAACCCTAGCCGGAATGCTTAGATGCTGAGATGAAAATTGTGAGTGATGTCTTTTGGAGACTCCTCTCTGCTATTGTCTCAGCCATGCATGTCGCACGAGGCGAGATTCTGTTCACAGTGATCAGTTTCCGATTTTCTACGACCGCACTGTGCGATTGCGCTGCATTGCGACCGTTCTACCGTGCTGATTGTGTTTTCAAATGTGGATTGATCACGTTTGGTAAGAGAGAAGCCGGAGCTGGACCTGGCATACAGCCGGAGCAGACGGAGTCGTAACATTCTGACCGGAGCCGGAGCCGGAGCCGCCGAGACATTTTATGAACAGCCTGAGCCGGAGCCGTAGCAACGAATCGGAGTCAGAACAGTTCTATTTCTATGGTTTCGTATCCCTACTCAATAGCGCATCGGTTGATTTCACCAGAGACGAATGGCCCATGATGGTGGTTTGCTCTGCTAGTTTTATTCTTTCTTCTTTTTTTTTTTGCTCATATTATGAGTGTCTTTCCATGCCAAGATTGTTTATTTAGGACTGCAAACGCACGTTATTTACAAGCGAGCATTTTATAAACGCTGAATATAAATATAGCCGATTACACTGTTCTACAAAAGCCTTGACAGACGACACAATCTTACGTAGACAGCAACATGACCCACGTCGACACCGCTCGTTACATCCCCTGCATTTTGGTCGCCAGTTTCAATAAAAACGTCCAACATGTCCAAAACTTATCGGGACAGTTGGTTCTATTTTGATAGCTGAGCTAGTTCGCGCCCCGTTGGGCTGCTGGCGGACCCTGCCATCTGTTGGGGGGGGGGGGGCGTTTCGGCCCCCAAAGATCTCAGAAAGTTACCAACCGATTTTCAAAATTCAAACAGCGTTTGATAGTTCCATAGGGAAACTACCACGTGATCTAATTTCATTGACGTAGGTGCAACTGATGGCGTCACAGGTCAGGTGAAAGGTCGCATTTTCACCGTTTACAGGCCTTCTAAGGAATGCGTTATGACATCGAGTAAAAGGGATGTTATCGAAAATCATCGACAGGACGTTGGCTGCCTAATACCAATGTTGCTAAATAAAATCACTGACACCAGATCAGGTCACGTAGGTCAGTTCAATAACGGCCACAATTGGACCCTGACCAAACTAGGGTAGTGTGAGACATGTTTTATGGCCAATTTCATATTTCAAAGTCAATTGTGTGGGCTGTGCGACCATTATGGCCAGTTTAGGTTACGTTCTGGTGGAGGTCGGGTCAAGATCAGGGCATGAAGGGTCAAATTTTAAAGTTGGTATTTTTGCATAAAGGGGTAATTATTCGATGCCGCTTGCCACTGGAAATTCAGTGGGGGGTCTTTTTTACGTTGCGCTGTCTAGAACAACTAAAAATTGAGTTTGCAAATGCAAATTCGACTTAAGCAATTTTGAGCACTTTTTCGACATAACGTTGCCAACAATGATGCTATCGATCTCAAATTTGTCATGTCGGTGGGCGACCGTTAGTTCTATAACATATGTTCCGGTTTGCCAAGGTGTGAAAGTTTTTTGGTATTTTAGGGTAATATATGAAAAAAGCATTGTTCAATTTGGGATCAAAATCCAAAAGTTAGAAATTAGAGATAGCAGTTTTGTAGCCCTGTTTAATGTTTTGTAGCCCTCCACCAAAACTTTTTCTCCCTTCAACAGTCAACACTGCAGGTGTGACAGCTTTTCATGCAAAATCTTTTTAGGTCTAAAGTGGCAGATTATGACGTCAGTCTGACGTCATTTGTGGCCAACCTATCATACGCTCTACAAAATTTTCGCGACAAGATGTAAAATTGATGCAGGGAGAAGTCCTGAAAGTTTGGTGACGATATCTGCAATATTTTAGAAGATATTGGCTGAAAAGGAGATGGGGTCGTTTCGCCCCCTCCCCTCCAACGGTGCGCGGGCTAGCTACATACATAGATGGAGTGCTTTTGAGTGGCCACAAGATGCACCTTTGCTGAGTGCAACTGTAACTCAGAGTCGCGATTCGACGCATCATACGAGTATGTTTCGCATGACGGAGCCCAGTAAGACCGTACAAAAAAGCCAAGTGGCTTCTTTTGGTGTGGTATTGTCTGCTCACATCTCATGACGTGTGTCAACCTAAACTGATCGGCTACCACCAGCCTGATCGTTTTTGGAAATTTAGAAGGTAGGGTTGAAAAACGTTAGTGTTAATTCAAAGGATTTTGTAACCAGTTTTCTGTACCAAGGTCCATTAGCTCAGTTTTTCGTGCGTCCATTTTTTATCATTCTATTCTCTGATGATCGACAGTTTAACCATAACAACCTGTAATGTCGGGATCTCCCATTCCCAGTGGTTTGGCATGTGCTGAGTCACTAAATAAACCATAGAAATTGTTACACAAAAATATTACACCCATGACCCTGACGCATTATGCCAGCATATGCAACAAGTAGGTACAATACACACCTCAATAAAAATAAACAAGCACGCGAACATTTTCAGTTTATCATGAAATTGATTTCGATGGAACATTCAGTTTTTCCTGACCCAGTTCACGGGACAAAACTGCATACCTATCAGCAGTTAAACAAAAACAGCTGCACAAAGCTTAACATAGCTTTCTCCAAATCGGAAACAAAGTGGCAGGAATGCAACCAAATGAAAGGTTGCATCTGCTGCTTACAGCCTCTGCGTGCCTAGACTTTATTTGTGGGTCTTATCTTCATCGTGGTGGCGTTGAGACTGAACGTGCTCCATGAGTTCCATTTGATACTTTTATAATCATTTGATCCAGGCATGTACCTTCCGTTAAGGTTGGACTGGTAACAACAATTATAGTACATTTTTGCCACCGACGCATGTTAAAAAAGTTCAGTTAAATTTTTGTATAAAGGTGGCCTGCTGAAAGGCTGAAGCGCGAGAGACGGTTAATTTCAGTCGACGCCAAAACTCGGAAATGCCTATTAAAACCCATGCATAAAAACACGGCGGTTAATTTCATTATACGGCAGTTTTCTTCTCTTCAAAAGCTCCCTGTTAAACAATGCATTCGATGACTGAAACTTCAATAAAAGTCCGGTCATAGAAGCTTGCAGCGGCTTGCAGCTTGGAATAAAATAAATTGCGAAACAGGTTGACAGGTGAATTTTGAAAAGAACACAGCCTTAATGTAATGACTTTTCGTATGCATTTCAAAGAGATGGCTTAGCAGGTTACGCAGAAATTTAGAAGGCAGATTTCGAGGTACACCTAGTTCTCAAGAGCCAGTGAAAAGAGCAATTGAAGATGAACCTTACAAAACGGGAAGAACAGCACTGTCAGGAGCCAGTGTTTGTAGTAAGATCGACGTTTGTTATCATACCTTCATGGATATTGGATGTCAAAACTCAAAACATAGGAAAGAGGAGGGAATGCAACGACATCACATTTCCCCACTAATGAAGACAAAACATGTCTCCGCAACGCCTACTCCTCACTCGCTTCGTAGCATGAATGTCTAATAAAAGTAGGTAACAGACGCGTCTCGCATGTTTACCAGGAAATATCTGAGAAATGAGGGATGAATTTCAAGCAAAATACGACATGGTAGGCAATTTACCATTTGTATAGGTATACTGAAACCAAGTTATAGATTAATTTCGTTATTCGCCCATCGTGTGTTAAAGTCCATTGGCAATAATTTTCATTATACGCCCAAAGCTTTACCCATTTGCTGCCCCCCCCCCCCCATCTCCCGTGCACCTCCTTGATGTCGAAGCCCAAAAGCGAACCCTTTCTCAGAGATGCGTTGGTGCTAGGTGCCAAATATTTACTATAATAAATTTAATTACCCGGTCCGAATACTATACCAGCCATGATACGGTCGCTTTTCCTCAAGGGTGTTTTCATTGAATATGCTCGCAGGCTCGCACATTCAATGCAAAAATTGCACTCATTTCATTCGTGCAATTTTCGAAAATAGCATCCTCACTCCGTTCGGACGCTATTTTCGATAAAATAATGTCCTCACTTCGTTCGGACATTATTTTAAAACACCCTTGGGAAAGCGACCGAATAATGTCTGGTAAAGTGCTCGGACCGGGCAATTAAATATATATAATACCACCAGGCCGACTCGTAAGCCGACGCACAGCTACTTAAGCACGTGTCTTGGTCTCTGTCAACTGTGGAGAATTTCATTCCCCGGTGGCTGGTAAGACTGTCCCCAGCGTTTCCGGCGTAGCCTGTGAGGTCAATTCTGTAGCCTTCAGCTTCGGACGAGATGGTGAACTTCTGGTAAGTGGCGTACCTCCTCTGCTCTTCAAAATCCCAGAGGTCCACTCTTAACTCGTAAATGCGGTCCAGCTGGGAGGTCAGCTGCCAGAGGTGGTGAAGTCCCCACCAAAATTCTCCATCAAAAGTTCCTAGGCCTGACTTATAGGCCTCCCAGTCCTCGAAGAAGTCCTGCCTGGGTGTGATGTCGGCTCTTCTTTGAAAGACAGTCCATCCCTTACCATCATCCATGTCGCAGTAAGCCGAGGTCGGAGTGAGACGATCAGGGCAAATTGTGTACACTCCACTAGCAGAACCGAAGGGCAGGTCACTGCAGTCCCGTACAGTAGAATCCTGCTGTGACGTACCGTTGACATCCGATGTTAGCCACAGTCCAGCTGCCAGCTCAGCGACGCACAACAGACAGAGAACACAGACCGCCACTGGGAGACGCGGCGGCAGCTCCATGGTGATGCAGAAGGACGTCCTGGGTGGTCTGAGGGGAGCAGTCGTTTCCACTGAAGGTGTGGTCGGCCCGGCCCATGTCAGGTGTCTCGCTCACAAGCACTCCCCTGTACCGTGCATGACAACAAGTGTTGCAGCATTATCTGTCAGCAATGAAGTGCGCAGAAGAGCAGGGCTGGGAGATGTAACAGCTGTGAAGCCCTGTCAGTCCAAAAGGCGCCAAAATTCGTGGAATCAAAGCGCTATTTATCTTGCCGCAGCGGGAGTGGCTTCTGAAAATGTCATCTGTTGAGACGAAAACATGAATTTCTGCCATGCAAATGGAAACAGATGACAAGCAAATAAAAATAAATGACATGCAATTCAAACCAAATCAATTTGATATTTTTCAAGCGGTTCTATTGCAAATATGTCATTACCTTAAACATACGTCTATGTAGGTAATCGACCGGTCCGGATAGCACTGATGTTGAAGCGGGGAAGGCGTCAGATACTCTTTTTTACAACAGGTACAAAAACTTCCGATTTGACTGGTATGCATATAACAGACACCCAATGCAATGCAACACATTTCCGATTTTATTTCGTTGTCGCAAATTCTCTGTGTATTCTTATGAAGTATATGTAATATGCATTCAATTGTCAATTTATAGACATGCTCTTGCTAATTCCAGTAGGTACACACCAACTTATCTGAAAGCTTACACATAAACGCTCAAGTTGATGGCAGTCCAGTCGTTTCTCTATCTTGGCTTATATTTAGGCTAATAACATAGATGCAGATAAACTTTTTGGATAACACCAAGATAACTCTTCGGATTAAATTGCATTTCATATATTTTAATTTGCTTGTCACTATTTTAACTTGCTAATAACATAGATGCAGGTAAACTGTTCGGAAAACACCAAGATGTCTGATCGGATTAAATTGCATTTCATATATTTTAATTTGCTTGTCATCTATTTTAACTTGATATTTAATTAACATGCATGTGATTTAATATGGTTGTCATGTGTTTTAAACCGGATGTCAGTTGTTTTAATTTGGACTTCATTTGTTTTAATATGGATCAAAAAGGTGGACGAGCCCTAGCCGAGATTTTAGACGCAAATATGTGGATTGCGAGTGTCGTCTCTTTTAGTTTCTCATTTTCTTATAATAAAGTTTCCCATTCTCTACACTGTGCGACTGCGCTGCAATGCCACCGTTCGGCTGCGCTCTCCGTGTTATCAAATGCGAGTTGATCACGAATTGGAAGAGAGAAGCCGGAGCTAGAGCTGCCAGACAGCCGGAGCAGCCGGAGCCGGAACATTCTGACCGGAGCGGGAGCCGGAGCCGCCGAGACATTTTACTCATAACCTAATCCGGAGCCGTAACAATAGCCCGAAGCTGCAAAACCGCCCGTATTTCTGTGGCTTCGTTTCCTTGCTCATTAGCGCATCAGTTGATTTGACCAGAGATGACTGGTGATCTGCTTTGCTAGTTTCATTCTTTTTTCCTCATTATGATAAGTGTCTTTTCATGCAACATTTGTTTATAAGGATTGCACTACCTACGCACCTTATTTAGAAGCGAATATTTCTTATAAACGCCCAATGTAAATATGACTAATTAGACTGTTCTATAAAAGTATTGATAGACGGCGCAAGCTCATGTAGGCAACATCATGAACAACGTCAACACCGCTCTAAGCTCTTTATATACCTGTTTCTTGGTCGCCAGTTTTAAAGAAAAACATCAAACAGGCTTAAAACTTATCGTGACCGTCGGTTCTATGCTGATAGCTGTGCTAGCCTAGTATAATTATAGATAGATGGTGTGCTTTTGAGTGGCCACAAGTCGTACTCCTGCTGAGTGCAACTGTAACCCATGGGTCGTGATTCGACGCATCATATGTTTCGCATTACGGAGCCCAGTAGAGTTCTGCACGGCTGCAATTTTCCACAGCCTAGCCGCCCCGCAGCCGTGGCTCCACAGCCACAGCCGCCCACAGCCATGGCAAACTGTAGGCAGCCAGCCGGCCGTGGATACTTTCAATGAAATGCAACCAAATAGTATATAATAAGTTGTTTTTAGTTGAAACATATAGCCAAAAGCACATTGCAATGGGCTATAGATTCTCAAGCTCATGAAGCATCATAGGTTAAGTGGTTGTGTATCTGGCTTTAGGCCAAAGGCCTGAAGCCTGATGCGCAACGCATGCCTACACAAGCCCTTGCAAGGGGTTAAGAAAGATGGGTAGGTAGGTACCTACATCAACAGAAAACATAAACAACGAACCAGAATAGAAGCACTAGCAGTGTAGACATCTAATGCCAAATCCTGAAGTATGGTTGTGGGACAGAACAACAGACCCTGATGCTTTTCATTATCAATGTTAGGCATGGAAAATGAAACTGAAGTTGATGGACTGTCAAACAGTGATTGTCTAGTCAAAACTCTTGCTTCTTTCTTACCTTGCATATTTTCTGGGGTGTGATATGCCAGGCTTGAAGCAGCCTTCCGAGCAAGTCTCAAGACTCAAACTAAAAACACTAGTGAGCATCCAAGAAAGAAAAACATTCATCTATTTTGATTTTTCCAAATAATGATCTTCGCTCAAATCCACAAGGACGTGCGAGCCACAATTGCCTCTTTCAATCAAAAATTTTACTTGAGTTTTTAATGACGTCAATAGCAAAGAAGTGGCAATAAATTGTTTTGTGTCACTATAAACAGCCATAAAATTATAATCAATAAATTTTAATGCTATAGAGTTTAAAACTTGCTCTTAAACAAAGATTAGGTATCAAATTTTCACATTTTTAGAAAAAGACGTCATTTTGTTAGTAAAGCCAACAGCTCGCGTAAGAAATATTGTGTTCAGGGTTTTCACCGTCATGTGAATTACGTGTTCAGGGTTTTCACCATCATGTGAATTAACCGTAAGTAAGGTTCATGCTCACTTATAATCTAATTCCATTGGCTTCGTTGACCAGCATTTTCTGTTAGCGGTCACTCACACACCAGTTAGAACATAAAGCGCCAGTTTGATATTATGTAATTGGACTTGCCGAAAATTCAGAAATACATCTAAGAGTTATTTTAGATATTAGTCTGATTGTTTTGGGAGGATTCAAAGCTAGGGTTTAAAAACGTGAGTGTGAAATAAGAGGATTTTGTTACCAGAATTCTGTGCTAAGGTGCATGAGCTCAGTTTCTGATGCGTCCATTTTTTAAATCTTATTCGCTGTTGGTCCACAGTGCATAGGCACCCTGCAGAGTGGGCATCTCCCATTCCCAGTGATTTGGCATGTGCTGAGTCCCTAAATAAACCATGAAAAACTGTTACACAAATAGATTACACCCATGACCCTGATGCGTAATGCCAGCATATGCAAAGTACAGTAGGTCTATACAAGTCGCTGCCACCAGTGGGCAGGTAGCGCCTGACGGCTGCTGAGGCGCCACGCAACCTCCAAGTTACCGGGCAGGTGGCACCTGAGCAGCCCTTGGGCGCTACCCGCTCACTAGGGGCGGTGACTTATTTTGTAGACCTACCTACTAAGTACTAGACACACTTGAATAAAAAACGCACGAGCATGTTCAGTTTATTGCTGAAACTGATTTCGATGGTACATTCGATTTTTGTTTTGTTTTCCTGAGTAAGCACACAGAACAAAAATGCATAAGTACCTTTTAGCCGTTGAACAAAAACAGCTGCACAAAGCTAAATACGAGTTTTGCCGAAACGAAAACAAATTAGTAGAGTGCAGCCCAACGAAAGTTTGGATTTGCTACTTGCAACGTTCATGCACTTAGAGCGTATTTGTGGGTCTGATCTTCATTGTGGTGGCGTTCAGACTGTAGTCGCCCCTCCAGTCCATCCACCGGACGGACCTACTCGGTTCAGTTGACCCCGGAATGTACACTCCGTTGAGGTTGCATCTCTGACAGGCATTATACCACCATGCTCCATGGTCTAAAGATGAACAGTTACCCGAGTGAGCGTTGTTGTCTCTGTCAAATGTGGAGAACTTCATTCCGTTGTGGTAGCTTAGACTGTCTCCAGCGTCCCCGGCGTACGAGGAATCAACAAAGTGCAGTCGGTAGCCGTCGGCCTCGGACGCGATGGTGAACTTCTGGTAGGTGGCGTACGCCGTCTGCTCTGCAAAATCCCAGAGGTCGACCCGTAACTCGTAAACGCGGTCTAGTTGGGAGGTCAGCTGCCAGAGGTGGTGAAGTCCCCACCAGAACTCTCCTGTTAAACTTCCCAGACCCCACTTGTACGTCGCCCAGTCCTTGTAGAAATCCTGTCTCGGTGAAATATCGGCTCTTCTTTGGAAGACGGTCCATCCCTCGCCATCGTCCATGTCACAGTAGGCCGGGGTCGGAGTTTGGAAGTCAGGGTGGATCAGGTACACTCCGCTGGGGGAGCCGAAGGGCAGATCACTGCAGTCGCGTACAATGGAATCCTGCAGGGACGTACCGTTGGTGCCAGAGTTTTGCTCAGCGCCCAGTTCAGCAGCGCACATCTGGAGCGAGAGAATGCAGGCCACCGCTGAGAGTCGTGACAGCAACTCCATGGTGCTGCAGAAGGAAGTCCTGTGCTGTCCTTGGAGGATCAGTCGCTTCCACTGAAGATGTATGTTCGATCCGGCCCGTTATATACCGCCTAACAGGTGGCTGGCTCACATGCACTACCGTCATACCGTGCACGACAGCAGCTGTTGCAGCATTATCTGTCGGCAATGAAGTGCGCAAAAGAGCAGATCTGGGAAGCGGAACCCATGTGAAGCTCTGGCAGTGCCGAGGACGCCAAAAAATCGTTTGAGTAAAGAGCTGGCTTTCTTGTTGCAGCGGGAGTGGTTTGAGATATCGTCATCGGCTGAGGCGGAAACCTGGGTTATTTATCTCGTCTGCCTATCAGGAAAGGACCGGTAACGCAACACTCCTACAAAGACCATATTGTACTGAATGGCTTTATTTTTTTTTCATCCAGTCATTGAGCCATCGATATTACTTTTGCGCTCTTGTAATGCATGTGACTCTTGAGGACAGCTCAAGATTGCAGGCCATGGCCATTTCACGTTGTCACGCACGCCACGTAATTTCTCTACGTCACGTCACACTCGATGACCGCGATGACGTGACGTCACAGTGGCATGACGCTGCGTCACGATCACTGCCAGGAGCTTCACTTTTACACATTCAGCTACGTATGTAACATAATGTATTATGTATCATAATTTATCATACATATGTATCATGCATATGTATCATACACATGAACCTATCATGCATACGCATCATACTCATGTATCATCGCGGTCACATGAATATCATACGTGACCATTATCCATTAAAGGGACTATCCCACCTTCAAAAAGTACCATTTAGGATTCGGAAATGTTACTCATGATATTGTGACGAATTCTGCAAGTTTTTACGCGTTTTCATCGTATACTTTTTGAGATATTGCGACTTTTATATTTCATCGTGACGTCATTTAGATCGGATCTGTGACGTAATGAAGGATTTACTTAATGCCAATGTGGGGGAAATTTGGCAGCAAATATAGGTATTTGCTCTCAAATATGACGCGGCTCATACAATAAAAAATGCCTCTGATTGGCTTATTCGTAAGTCAAGTGATACTTCACTTGAATGCGTAACAGGCGTTCAAAAGGCAAATGACGTCATCAGATTGCCGCTAATGGTTAAGAGATTGGGACTTGCACAAGGAACATTTTCAAATGAAGGGAACAATTTTTTTCAACACCACGAGGCTGCGGGGGTTGCGACCAAGATAGATAGCGGTTTCTGAACCTCGCCGCAAATTTGGCTATCTCAACTCAAACCTAATGTTAAGGTGGGATAGTCCCTTTAATAGTCTGTTTTGAAATTCCTCCAAAAAAAAATTGTTCAGGCTCACAATCAGATAATTTTTTCTTATTGACGATAAAACAGGTGGGCTATCAAGTACAAGCTCTTGCAACCCGCAGTACCCAGCTTCTGTTTGCTCATAGCGTCCTTTTTCTATCGTGACGACTGCTACCTTTGGCTGACACCGAGCCGAGCGTAGTCGCCCGGGGCGGTGGCTGGTCAAGTGGTCACGTGACCGATGCTCGGGGGCGGTGGGCGGTCACGTGACCGATGCCCGGGGCGGTTGCTGGTCAAGCGGTCACGTGACCGATGCCCGGGGCGCTGACTGGTCACGTGGTCACGTGACCGAAGCCCGGGGCGGTGGGCGGTCACGTGATCGACGGTGACTGGTCACGTGACCGTTGCCCGGGGCGGTGACTGGTCACGTGGCCGCTGAACGGGGTGGAAAGGCGCGAGTGTAAGTGTAGTGCAGAGACTGGCTGAAGGGAGCTTCCACGGCCAGGGAAGTCTTGTCGTCTTGCTTGTGGTCTGGATTCCGGTTTCCGTTGTACTCATACGCGTAAGTGTGTGCTTAAATGCATTTGCGCACCTGTTGTGCTTAGGTAATATGCACAACGCGCTTTTATTGTTTAAGGAAAAACAAATATTTTGTGGAACCTCAAGAAATTGCTCTAAACTTCATCAATCAATACATGAAGCCTGATTTAAGACCGTGTTTAGATCGCAAGTAAATTGCTCATTGATTTTCCGGGAAAGATACCCTTAAATCTGTCCTAGCAATTTCATGTTGCAATGCTGCTTTCAATTGAAATATGTTCTGGATTTCCGCAGTTCTTTGTCGTTGTAATTCGAAGAACCAAATAAAAAACATCTCTTCGTTTCACCAATTCGTAGATAAACGCTACATTTGTCTGCATCCTGAGAAGTATAGCATTTCCTTTTTATTTTATCATTTTGGACGTCCTATTACTCACTAACACAAATGCTCAAGGGACATTGCGCGTTGTATTGCAGACACATTAAATCACTGAAGAAAATTAAAAGATGGACACTTTGGCAAACACATTGCACGAGTGGTATTGCAGGTTGAGCAAAAACAATGACGCTGAACTGACAGACCAGCGCCATGCAAGCAGCATTGCACGCAGGCTCACACCACTGCTGACTAACAAACTGGAAAAGAGACAAACTAGCAAATTGACTAACAGGCTTGCTCTCTGACAGCGACTTACAGAATGACTAACAGACTGGCAAACCGACTGACGAACAGACTGCTGCGTAATACAATGACCACACAAATCGCTCCATGATTGGTAGACATACCTATGCAAACAAAAACTCATTATTTTGCTAAAGCAAGCTCAAACGATTGACAATCATAAAAAAACATAAAAGGCTGGTAGCCACATGCTTCCACGCAATAGCACCTTGTGCATCTTACCAAGCTTTTAATGTAGAGCATGCGTTGCAAATGCCGGCATGCTTACGCTGCATGCAGGAGCTGCCACACGGGATCACCCAGGTCACCTACGACGACGGACACAGCCGCTGGTACAGGGGCGTCCTCTCGGGGGACCCGTCCCGTCCTCCGATCTGCCGCAGCCGCTCCCGGTACAGGTCCTCGGCGTCCTCCAGCTCCTCTCGGGTGACGGCGCTCCACACGCTGCTCCGGTGACCCTCGCCGGCCGTCCACGTCACCTGGTGCAGCACGCGGCGGCACCACGCGTGACGGCGCACAAACTTGCGCAGCAGGTGGTCCATGGCCGGCGTGGGGTGACTGACGCCCAGCTGACCGGCGCGGCACAGCTCCAGCAGCAGAGAGGACGCCTGGCCGAGCCGCCGCGCGTACCGGCGCACGAACACACAGTCGAGCACGTCCATGTCGAACGTCTCCGGTCCGGCGTCGGGCCTCAGTAGCTGTCCGCGCCGCTTGAGCGTGGCGAATCCGACCGCCTCGCCGCCCTCGGCGAACAGCAAGAACGCCGAGTCGCCGACGGGAGGCGGAGCGAAGAGGGGCTCTCGCATGGCGGATGACCGCTCGCGCTCACCGTAGACATACTTGATGAGCACGTAGAGGATGGCGCGATCGGCCACCGACTGGACCGGGTGCCAGCCGGCGGCGCGCCACTGGACCAGGCTGAGCAGCAGCTCCAGCGGCGTCCAGAGCGGCCCGACGCGCAGCGCCACGCACCAGCCGCACGAGGGGCAGCGCAGGCCGTCCAGGCCGGCCCCCAGACCGGCGCCGGCGCCGGGCGGCAGGAGGACCTCGGCCGGCAGACACAGTTCCGGCCGGGACTGGCGGTAGGGCCGCGGACAGTGGCGGCTCGGCTCCCGGCAGACCGTGCCGCACCCCTCCTTCGGACACGGGACTGCAACGGAACGGGAGAACGGTTAGGGGGCGGTAGACGCTGGGTATCAACACACACAACTGGCATTAGCATCCAGGAAGAAGTCGAATGTTTATCACAGCTTTGTGTCCACTTCAAAGGTAACGGGTTAATTGTCACTGGCCCTCAACACAGGAAATCACTCCAGAACACACAACCCCCAAAACGCCTCCAGAAAAGATAAAAATTCATCACAGTTCTCTCCTAACCAATGTCGTCTGTACTCACTGGCAAACAGTCCACTGGTGGTGAACTCCCGGTGTGTCTCCTCCTTCGCCAGGCTCTCCAGCAGGTCCAGTGGGGTGCGGATGGGCCGGGGTCGGAGCAGCGGCACGGGAGGACCATCCTTGGACACCGCGCTGAAGACGGCAGCCAGAGAGCGGCGGGGGCGCAGACGACAGATACGGGTCCTCGGAGGCGGTGATGGAGTGCCCTCCCTGAGAACGGTGCAGGGGTCATAGGGTTAGAGGGCAGATTGACATGCAGGCTCTATCCTACAAAGGCTCAGGCAACTTTTTGCCACTGTGGCTCATCTCTACTGCTATGCAAATAAGGATTATTTCGGCACTTATGCGTTACAATTTACAAAACATTGACGTTGCGACGTCATTAAAACCGAATTTGGACAAAACGAGCCTTTGGCGCTATTCGCGTAGGAGCTGGGCCAGGCTATGAACATTTGAGAAATATCTATATAGTTATATCGGTAAAACAGCGGCCCAAAGCATGGGGAGGGCTTCTTAGCATTCGGGTTCATGACAAAGGAAAGTGATGGATCATGGAAAACCACGGTCGGCAGCCTGACGTCACCAACGCCATTTTGATGACGTCATTACGCCCAGTTGTCTCCTGGAGGAGCGGAATGGAAAACAACAGCTTCTTGTTTGCACAAAGGAATTCTGAATCGTCCGATGGATTTTGTAGCTGATTGGATGCCATGCGTGTGGCAGAAAAAAAACTGAGTAGATATCACGTCAGGCTCGGGAGCCCCCAGAGGCCATCATCTATGTTCAGTTGGTCAGTTAATGAGTGAACGAAGGCGCACCCGATGAAGTACCAACACAACAAACAAGGGTACTTACCACCGGTAGGCGGCCGTCGTTCTGGGTTTCTTGCTGGGAGGTGGCGTGCCAGGCTGGTTCTCGGAAGAGGAACGTTTTCCACGACACTCTGCCACAGCCGAGCTGGTCACGGGAGACCTGTGAGACGCAAAAGGTGGGGTCTGTTAGCAAGACAAGCCGACAGATGGCAGAGATTCCATTCTTATGCGTATGTTATTGCACTACGTATATAGTAACATTTTACAAACGCACCTTTATCAGTCGTTTTCACGACGGGCTATCCGGCGAGTGCACCTTATTTGACCAAGTCTGCACCTAATCTCTTTTACAGCAAATATCTTTATTCCATGAATCTATTTTCGTGTTTTAATCGATGATACTCTGATAATATGACAAAGCAGGCATATAAGCAATTAGTGCAACCCTAGGTGATCACTACTAAGAGACACACTGAACCTTATTTGACTAAATTTGCACCTAATCTGCACCAGATGTGCACCAAATGTGTACTAGATAGCCGTCGTTAAACCGATTTTTTTCGTTTTACATGTATATTAAGATCCAATTGAATGGCCTAGATGTTCAGAGTCTTTTATCTACTTGTTCATTTAAAACGATATCTCCCAAAAGTCCCTAAAAAGTCCCTGCCTTCATATACCAAGCTACTATTTTAGGAGAGAGCTGAGTATTATTAATTGCTGGCATCCTGGCAGCATACTAATTTAATTCTTACTCATTAAGTAACTCATCAACCACTCATAAGCATCCTCATGTAATGACCATGAAAAGATTGCTCTATATCCCGATTCAGTAGGTATGACCCGTATAACCCGACTCCAGAGCTGGTACCCTTACATGCCCTTACTTTCAAAGCTGGGACCGTATAATTACCGATTTCCGACCTGCAGTCCCTTACGAGTACACCAAAATAAGGAGCTAGGTAAAATCGGCAAACTATTTTGTGGTTAACCCGCGCACCGACGGGGGTCTGCGCCAACTTAGTACCGACGGGGGGGGGCGGATGACCGCCCCCCCCTGAGATCTCGAGAACGAAGCAAGGTAGCGACAAGCGGTAAACGGCATCGGATACGCACGGACAAGGTCTACAATTTTTACTAAGGTCATTTTCAGGTCAGGTCAAAGATGACGTCACAGGGGTCGAAAAAGTCAAAATGGCGGCGCTAGATATGGAGAGGATTTTTCTCGAATAACTTTCGAAGTAGTCAAGATAGGAACAAACTAAGGGCATCATCGTGATCCTCTCGTCAATCCGCATCGAATGATATATATGTTGACCTCGAAAGGTCAAGGTCAAAGGTTGACCTCAGGTCATGTGACCTCGAGGTCATCATGTATATCATTCGATGCGTCTTGACGAGCTGAACACAATGAGACCATCCGCGCGCCTGTATCTTGTTCCTGTAAGGAGTTATTGGCAAAAAACCTTTGGTGACCTTTGATGACGTCACATGACCTTACAGCTGCCCAACAGCAAAACAGACCTCAAGGTAGTGAAGGTTGATCGTATGTGAAGTCATGTATGGTATATGGGGCCATTCCGACCCGTTTTAGTGGTAAAAACAGGGAGTTGATTTTTCCCCCATTGACTTATAATGGGGAGGTCGCGAAATTGACCTGACCTTAGGTCACCGACATCAAAATTCCGAGATATACAAATTGTAGCTACTAATGACCTAATAACATCCTGCGACTTTCAAAGGCCTCCGACATCTACTGTAGCTCTGGCACGGTGACAAAGTTGCAAAAAAGTGACTTGAGGTTGGGTCATTCAAAGTGACCTGGTGACCTGACCTTAAAAGTTAGGAGGTTCAAACTTGCACACCATGTGTAAAATTGATGAGAGAATAGTCATACCAAATTTCGCGGCGCTACGCGCCGCGGTTTTCCCGCTATCCGCGAAAAACCTCAGGGGGGGGCGGATATCCGCCCCCCCCGTCGGTGCGCGGGTTAAGTAACCTACAGTGGTAAATTCTTATTCTCTTGCACCAGCCCATAACGCAAGCCTTCAAATGTTCTGTTTAATTTCTAGGTGAGATATCACGGTATAGTTCTCGAATAAGTATACGGCTCCAAAATGTCTAAGCGAATCGCAAGTTAGTAAACAACGCAAAAGACGAGGCACAATGTAGGTATTTAATTGGTATTTTTATCATCAGTTGCGTTTAAAAACATACGAATTCAATGAAAATGTAGGTAAGTATGACTGGAAATGGACGTTTTAGGACCTATTACAAAAAAATTGATAGGCTTTAAATAATAACAGGGCGTGTCTACTTACATTGCGAATTGCGATGCTGCAGAAGGAGGTAACCTCGCTGATTCGCTGACACCACTAATCGAACGCACGGGTTGCGAACTGTACGCACCTCACGAGCAAATGAGCCGAGCGTCGGTGACCCACAAAGTTATCACCTATCCATCGGACGGTACAGACCCGCTGGGATTAAATCCGGTGCCCTGGCGCGGTGGCAAGACGCCAATGATAATCTTCGAGTCGCGCGTGCGCAATGCGCATGGGGGTAGCTAAAGGGAAAGGGACGCAGGTTTTGGTTTTGTTTTGGGTGAAATTTGATTGTGGATATCAAGTAGACAATTAAATTGTTATCTATTGGCATTTGCTTTATGGTTTGGAAATAAATGAGCATCATGAGTTCTTATAAGGCTTTGCGAATGATGTATCTTTATAAACATGATCGTTTTGTCCTGATAAGATAACGGAAAAAGGAAGGAAATGAATCAATAGTAAGAATGCTTCTCATTTTAAAAAAGCATCTCTGCATGGAAGTCTTTGCCAGTGCGGCGTGTGAGAAATCTCCACTTCCAGCTCTTCAAGTAATTTGTCGTTCACCTACGCAATTCAAGTCGTTCTTCCTACTTTTTTTTTGTTGTTAACGTATAACATAATATAAGGAACTGACTGGTCAGCTGCTTACTGATCTCAGGCAGCTTTTGCCAAATTGTCAGGGAACTCAGATTTGTTTTTCAATAGAAAAACACAATTCTAAAGAATAGTGTTTTAACTATTGACAACAAACCTTCGGTTATTACGGAGCGAGCGAAGCGAGCGAAGTCTTTCGTAGATTATCGGAAATTTCTGAGTATGAGCGGGCGGCCGGCCGGCCGGCCGTGCGGACGCCTTTGCGAGGCCTATATCTCAGGAACCACTTGACCGATTTAAATGCGGTAATTTTTGTAGGGCAGCTTCATTTCTTCTAGCAAATATTGGACTATTCCCGATGCATGTGGATAGCCCTTATGCACGTGCCGCGTGCAAAACGAAGAGGTGTCAGTTTTGTAACAATTGCAATATCTCTGTGACTACTGGGCCGATTGCGCTGAAAGGTGGCATGTAGGTAGGCACCTACTAGGTAATGCATATCCATGTGCCGCAGTTGGGGTGCTGCTGCACGTGCGCACGTGCAGGGGTCGATTCCAGATCTCGAGAACGGCTGGGCCGATTGCGTTCAAATTTGGTACACGGTTAGGGACCGGTTAGTAGGGACTAGGGTACCGTGCACAAGTCAGTTGGGATCCATTTTGCACGTGCGCACATGCAGGGTGCCGCTTCCAGATCTCGAGAACGGCTAAGCCGACTGCGCTCAAATTTGGCACATCGCAAGGGACCGGTTAGTAGGGTGCACTATTTTATCCTCTAGAGGATCAATGAATGCCTAATCACCAGTAAAACGCCTTTTAGGGCGACCAGCGGAGCGAGCGAGAGGGTGAGCCTTGCACGTGCGAAATTGCGAAGGGAGTACCTCCAACTAACTTGTGCACGGCACCGGGTGCAATTCTCGCTCGCTCCGCTGGTCGCCCCGAAAGGCTTTTTACTGGTTATTAGGCATCCATTGATCCTCGAGGATAAAATATATAATGGACATGCACATAGAATATACTCATACTGATACAGAGGTAGGTACACCCAACATACTACTTTTTTATATGATGGGACACCACCCAGTGATCTGGTTCTCTGAGTTTTCCCAGACCCGCGTCTGCGCCGGTCTAATTAGTGTCGGGCGCCAGCATTCAGGGGATATTACCGGTCCACAAGTGTCGGGTGTCCTAATCGGTGGCGTCCCCCCCCCACCCCCACCCCCGCTGCCGATACCCCCAGCCGGCATTTACACCATTGAGGGCTTAACTACCCCTACCCTACCTGTGACCTTTCAGCCGACACTTGGGATCAGTGAGATTGACATTTTGCAGTTACCGCGTGGTGGATATCTCGTAACCTGATCAGCCATGTCACTCTTTCTCTGTCGGTGCATCCGCCGACACCCTGGCACGTAATCCCGGGATGCGGGTCACTCCACTGGTACGGTAATTAAGACCCCCCTCCCCGTCCCCACCCCCGCGGTGTCGGAGCCGGCTTAGGAAACAGTCGACACCGGCCCCGACCCCGCCTGACCTGGCGTCTAATTACGCTCCACTGAACTATATGGTACTTGTCTGTGAAACTGATCTGTCTGCCAACTATAGCTTGGTAGGTAAGCTTAATCTTTAGTAATAAGTAGTGATAAGTAAATAAGTAGTAATAAGTAATGATAATAATGATAAAGTAGGTGCATGCAGATGAAGATGAATATTCGTAGGAATGATAATCCATAGAAATAAACATAGAAAAGATACTAGGCCTATTTACAAATCAGTGCTTATACACTGGGCGTAATGCCGACGAAACCAAGCAAATTCACTTAAAAAAGAACAGGAACATTTTTTTTTATAAATTTAGTCCGAATGGTTGAATGGGTGGATTTGAGGAATCAGAGCCCGCACTAAGCATAGCTTGTTGTGCTGACCCTGACCCCACCACCCGATCGCGCAATTCCAGTTGTATGGCAGAATTTTGTCCGAACGTTTAACGTGCCCTCACGACTGGACACGGTCATTTTTCAGTTTATTGATGAAACCGATTTCGATGAAACAATACATTTTTGCAGAACAACACAAAACCAAAATTCATAGTTAGCAGTTCAACAAAAAACAGCTTCCCAAAGCTAATATGACTTCTGCCAAATCGAAAATTAAGAGTGCAGGTTCATAAAAGGTTGCATCTGCTATACCCCGCTAACCGAAGGCCGGCCCTAAAAAGGGCCGGCCGGCCGGCCGGGCGCGCGGCTCGCCACCCTATCAGGGTGACGGGTCGCGGGTCCGGCCAGTGCAGCGGCCTGGGGCATTGCCCCGGCGAGGACGGGTATGTGGGATCATTCGCGGGAGATGCGGGGCGGGACAGGGTCCCGTAGAGCTTCCACTGTGAACTTGTATTTAAACGCTTACACTGTACATGAGTGACATATGTGATGCACGAATGATGTAAGTGTAAATATCATATATGCGTATATGAGAGAAATAAATATGAAAAGCTTACATCTGCTGCCTACGGCTCCGCGTGTTTAGAGTGTATTTGTGGGTCTAATTTTCATGGTGGTGGCGTTCAGACTGTCGTTGTGTCGCCATTCATGCCAAAAGACGGTTACGTAGTCTGATACTCCGGGTTTGTACAGTCCGTTGAGGTTGGAGATGCAGCAGGATTTGTACCACCAGGCCCCTTGGTTGTTAGATGAACAGTTGCCCGGCCAAATGTCGTTGTCCCTGTCAATAGTGGAGAACTTCATTCCCTTGTGGTAGGTAAGACTGTCTCCGGCGGTTCCGAAGTAGTCGCCAAAGTCAATTCTGTATCCCTCATCCTCGGATTCGATGGTGAACTTCTGATAGGTGGCGTACCTTGTCTGCCCTTCAAAATCCCAGAGGTCGACCCGTAACTCATACGTTCGGTCCAAGTACGAGGTCAGCTGCCAGAGGTGATGAAGTCCCCACCAGAACTCTCCATCAAAACTTCCCAGGCCCCACTTGTAGGCGCCCCAGTCCTTGTAGAAGTCCTGTCTCGGTGAAATATCGGTTCTTCTTTGGAAGACGGTCCATCCCTCGCCGTCGTCCATGTCACAGTAGGCCGGGATCGGAGTTTGTAGATCAGGGTGGATCAGGTATACTCCACTGGGGGAGCCGAAGGGCAGATCACTACAGTCGCGGACAATGAAATCCTGCAGGGACGTACCGTTGGTGCCAGAGTTTTGCTCAGCGCCCAGCCCAGCGGCGCATGTCAGCAGCGATAGAACGCAGCCGACCGCTGGGAGTCGTGACAGCAACTCCATGGTGTTGCAGGAGGGCGTCCTGTGCTGTCCTTGGAGAAGCAGTCGTCTCCACTGAAGGTGTATGTTCAATCCGGCCCGTTTTATACCTCCTCACAGGTGTCTGGTTCACATCCACTACCGTCATACCGTGCACGACAGCAGCTGTTGTAGCATTATCTGTCGGCAATGAAGTGCGCAGAACAAAACTGGGAAATGTAACAGATGTGAGGCTCTGGCGCTGCCGATGCACCCAAAGTTCTTAGGAGGAAGGCGCTAGCCATCTTGTTGCAGCGAGAGTGGCTTGGGAAGTTCGCAACTGTAATGTCTTAGTATTGATATCCTCAATGACGCTGTGATTGCAGAGACAGATGTTGATGTACCGGGTGGCCCAGAAAAAACGTTCCGAACTTTGGAGGCCTATATATCAAATTCGAGTATAAATAACGAGCCAAATTTTTCAACAGGTTTGCGTCATTTCCTTGCGCATTGGTATGCCAAATTATAACACTATA